CTTTTTTGCTAGTACCATTGCAGTCATTTAAAACTTATTTTGAAATATTTCAGAAATATCTAGCGGTCCCGGATACACACAAGGTGAGCCACAGCCCCAAAATTACTTTTCCTTGTAATTATTCAAAAAATGCATGGTTTTTTTAATACTTTTTTCTTTTAACACAACTCCTACAGAATAAGAGATACCATGGCAACAACATTTACAAGTTAAACATTCAACAAAAACTACAAAAACCTCGTCGCTGAAATGCTCAAGGTGGCTTTAATCTCTTCGCTCACACCAATAAGTAACAGTTGAACAAAGAAACCGAGGCGAAACTTACTGCCTAAATTGATATTCTCAACAAGAAACTGGAAGACAAGATATCCCTTACCTACGCCTCGAATTTCAAAAGAAAAGCACCGGAAACATTCAAACGCAGAAACGAAATAATAAACATTGTCGCTGTCAAAAGCAAAGACAGACAGTATCGATCAGCGATTATCAGTGTGATTGGTCAATCCAAAAACGAGAACAAAGACAACAAGACTAGTGTCACGGAGTTTATCAAGACTTCCGGTCTTGATAACTTTACAATCAAACAAGCTCGACGCCTAAATACAAGTAAAAAACAAACTTGTTCATAACTCTAATATTATTCAAGTCTCTCTTGCAAACGATAGGCAAAAAACCGCTGTTTCAAATAACTGCAATCACCATCAACTACAAAAATTTAACGGAGTTTTCGCACGAGAACACAAGACTATAGCTCAGTAAGAAGCGTTCAAAGAAACTCGAGCTAGAATTAAAAAGAAAAACGAATAACTGAAAAATGCTTGGATTCTCGACAAACCGTTTCGGAATGTCATCCACAAAAGAACAGGTCAAATATACTGAATTGATGTCACAAAGTCAAACGAGCGAAAGACATTTGTGTTCGCCTCATCAACGAAAGTTCTCAACAAATATCGACAAAGCAATACACCAGCTTTAACAAGCACCGCTCAAGAGAACTAGTCCTCCTAAAAAAACACCCAAAAAACACCCAGCATTCCAGTAATAAATAAAAACAATCTGCCTCCTGTAAATCTCCGCTTTTGGGCCAACAATCCATGCCCGAAGCCATAACCATTTTACACAACTTAGACGTTAAAAATACTCCTCATATTTTATTCTTCTCCAAAACATGGTCACTCGTACAACCGTACGAGTGACACGGTTATATCAAGCTATCAAATTCATCGAAGAGATAGAGACGGAAGAAGAGGTGGCATACCTCATACAAGAAGAAATAACTGCATTAGAAACCAGCTTTTCACAACTTAACTAAGAATCGACTAAAAAAATATGGCGCGTTATCAAGCTTGGCAACAGCTCAATTCTTCTCGGATGTATATATCGACACCACGACCTAAATGACAAAACTCTCACAACCCGTATAGCATCTATCGAAGCTTTTGAAGCTGCCGCCCAAAGGTTAGAGTGTGACCACATTTAATGAGTATATTGAGATTGACGGCGGCGATGCCATAACCATTTTACACAACTTAGACGTTAAAAATACTCCTCATATTTTATTCTTCTCCAAAACATGGTCACTCGTACAACCGTACGAGTGACACGGTTATATCAAGCTATCAAATTCATCGAAGAGATAGAGACGGAAGAAGAGGTGGCATACCTCATACAAGAAGAAATAACTGCATTAGAAACCAGCTTTTCACAACTTAACTAAGAATCGACTAAAAAAATATGGCGCGTTATCAAGCTTGGCAACAACTCAATTCTTCTCGGATGTATATATCGACACCACGACCTAAATGACAAAACTCTCACAACCCGTATAGCATCTATCGAAGCTTTTGAAGCTGCCGCCCAAAGGTTAGAGTGTGACCACATTTAATGAGTATATTGAGATTGACGGCGGCGTAGCGATAACAGCGCACGTGCTAAATAAACAACCAGGCAATTTGAGATTTTAAGATTGCTTAAATGAATACCTTCAAAGCATTTAGTTTACAACAAATTTTCAGAGCCAAACAGTATTCTCAACCTAGTAATCACAGAAAAGCTAGATATCTTGATAAAAATAAAAGATGAAGACTCCAATGGGATAATCTAACGCTTTAATCAGGGATCAATTTGTTCTGAACGTCACAATAAACTTAACACCTATCGTGTAATGAAAGCACTGTATTAATATACTAATATATATATATATATATATATATATATATATATATATATATATATATATATATATATATATATATATATATATATATATATATATATATATATATATATATATATATATATACATATATATATATATATATATATATATATATATATATATATATATATATATATATATATATATATATATATATATATGTTTTAAACAATTTTAAAAATATATTCTACAAAATAGAGTGGTCAATGTTCTTAAAAGAACAGAGCAATTATAGTTTAGTAGAAAATCACTTGACAAATTTTTTTTTTCTATTTTACACTGTGCTTCATCAATAAAGACACATCAGAAATGCACAAATGCATTTCTTATGAGTCTTTATTGATGAAACACAGTGTAAAATAAAAAAAATTTTTGTTAAATGATTTTCTACTAATTTATATATATATATATATATATATATATATATATATATATATATATATATATATATATATATATATATATATATATATATATATATATATATATATATATATATATATATATATATATATATATATATATATATATATATATATATATATATATATATATATATATATATATATATATATATATATATATATATATATATATATATATATATATATATATATATATATATATATATATATATATATATATATGTATATATATATATATATATATATATATATATATATATATATATATATATATATATATATATATATATATATATATATTAAAAGTTGTGATAAGACCTTCTATTAAAAGTTTAGCTCGTGAGCAAAATTTAAAGATATAGAAAATAAAAGTCTTTGCAAAAGTTTCTTTGCGTATAAAGTTACGCCAGTTTTCTTTCAAATTTATGCTATTCAAGTTTTGATTGCGTAAATTTGATTTTTAATCGTTGGGTTTTTAAAATAAAAAAGCTTCATCTGAAGTCTCTTTCCAAACAAAACGTTTTAAGTAATCAAAAAGACAGATTGCTTCAAAATATCTTAATTTCCTTTTTTTCATTTATTTTTATTCGTTATTCAAGCTATCAAGAAGACTATTCAAGAATTAAATTTTTTTTTTTTTCACTTTTCTTTAATAAAGTCAAGAATAAATCTTATTCTAAAGTTTCAGTCAGTAGAAGTTCAGTTAAATTCTAAAGGTTTAACAAATCTAAAAAAAAACAAGCTAAAGGAATACCGCTACCTAAAAGGCTTTATAAAAAACAAACTGGGAGATAAAATTTTGAAATTTTCTGCTTTACTCTAAAATGCAGTGAATAGCTAGTTAAAACAAAATCTAGAAGCAGTTAATAAGTATACCTCAAAGAGGTTGAATGGTTGTATCGTTCTTGCTGGAGTATATTGGTAAAAGTTAGCCTCAGGGCTTCAAAAAAGAGAAAAGTATTATGTGTTTGGTTGATGATGGAATATAATTAGTATTAACTTTCTAATTAAGTTGTTGTAGTTGGAAAGCTTCGGAATTTCAACATTAGATGTATACTTGCTTATTTAAACCATATAAAAAGTGAAGGTTCGCGTACTTTATAAATATTTTGAAAAATTATTGTCTAATTGTTTGTCCAAAAAGTTGAAACTATGGAATATAGTTGAAACTAGCTACAAAAACAAATGGATAACAATGGAAGAGCGCCAACCTTTAAATCAGGTGTGCAAGATGAGTTCTATTTTAGTTTGATTAAAGTTACAAGGCGGCCCATTTAGCTGTGAACAAGACATTATTGAAGTAGATAAAGATATGTTAAAATGAAAAATAAGTTCGAAAAATGAGGTTCTTTATTTTAGAGATACAATGTAGGTCATTCTCGCGGAGGTCTATTCTGATTAAATACACGATTGTTGATATAAAGATACAAACCTCCATCTTATGTCTATCAAAGAAAACGCTAATAACCTAGATGTTCAACTTGGAAAGTCCCCAAGAATACAAGACAACAACAAAAAGTTAAAATCACAATATAATATTTTCAAAATAACATACTCCAAAAGGTAACGCAAGACAAAAAAATTAATTTTAAATCGAATTTGTTGTAATTAGAATAATTTGGATTATGAAATTATTAATGTAAAAACAATAAACTCATTCAAAATCACTATTGATAAATATAAATCGTTTTAAAGTAATCTCTCCTGTGATTAGATTAATTAGTAATAAAATTTTAAATAATTAAATAATAAACAAAAATTAACACAAAAAATAATATTTTCAATTCCATAAATGGCTCAAACTTTATCAAAAAACATAAAAAAAATATTATTTTAGCCAAATTAAACTTTATAATAGTTAAATTTTAAATATTTACTTGTTCAAGTGCCACTAAAACGAACGATAGAAAAAAAGAAACATTCAGTAGGCTTGGAATATTTTTTTTAATATATTTTTAAATGATCTGAATAATTTTGTTGTTTTTATTTAGTTGAACGATGAATTTGTTTATACAAAAGGTTGGCTCTTTAACTTTTATGTTAAAGTTGTTATTTCTTTGTTAAACATTTTTTTCTTGCTTTGTTTATAACAGATTTATCTTTAGAACTGTTTGCAAAACTTTTGGTTTGGATACAAAAGACCAAATGAAATTAAAACTGGAAAGTTACACTTTCTTATATCTAAACATCATTGCAGCTTTCTAGTCTTCATTTTTGTTTATGTGTATTTCATTTGTGTTGCTAATGATATCGCAATTTTTTTATGATTTTATGTTATTAAGTAAAGCATCATTATGTTTCAAGCTAAAATAGATAATAATAAATATTAACACTTTTATCGAGTTTAAATAAATAACAACTCTCAAGGTGTATTAGCTGAATTATCTTTTCGTTTTGATAGTCTTTAGTAAATAACGGATTTTTAAAGTGTTATGAGTCTACAACACTTAGTTTCAGCGAAATTCAATTAAAAAGTCACGTCATAGAAGAGAGAAAAATATCAATATCTGCTTTCAATAACTTGGCTTTCGTAGCAAATTTGAGAGGTCCAAATGTTTAGCTTGGTTTAAGTATTACATAATAAAATACATCGTAGTACAGTCATTTTGATGGTCGTAAATTTCTTTGGCTCACTCATTTTTATATATTTTTAGACTGTTTACTCCTGTCCAAAAAGAAAAGGACCGCGCTGGAAACTTGAGGATTAACCCTTTTTGAATTAATAGTCGGTAAGTTGGTAATGTGTTTCACTCCGCTAATCAAGTTTTATTTGCTTTTTTGTATTTCATTCAAGCAATAGACTGTTTATTATGTTCACTCGTTTTTTAGAAGTCGTAACCAGCTCGTATGAAAAGTTTTCTCGACGTGTAATAGTTAATTTTATTCAACAATGCCAAGAAACAGAGTTCGCTCGAGAAACAGAAAAGAAAGAGAAAAATAAAAAAATATTCTGTTGAACAATACTGTTGTTTTATTTATAAATTATTCTTCTATGTTTAAACATATGAAAGATGTAGAAAATGCTTCTTTTTTTATATTGACATCTAAACGAGGTATTTTTTCTCGACATCGGAATGAGATTTTTGTCATACTTTGTATGAAGAGCTATTATCATTTTCATTTGATAAAAACAGCCTTTCATATATGAAAAGTAGGAATAATATAGTGTATAGGATACTATAGTATACTAAAAAGTATGACAAACTCGTTCCAGCCCCGAGAAAAAAATACTTTTTTAGAAGTCCATATTTGATAAACAGAGACGTCCTAAAGACGCATTTTTTATTTTTTTTCATGATAAGATAAAGACAAAAAAGACATCTTTCTCATGTCGAAAAGAGATGTCTTTTAGATTTGCATATTCGACTGAAAAAAGACGTCTTAATGACGCATTTTTTATGTTTTTTTATGACAAGATTAAGATAAAAAAGACGTCTTTTCGATGTCGAAAAAAGATGTCTTTTATATTTGCATAATTGATTAAAAAAAGACGTCTTAAAGACATCGTAAATAAGACTTTTAAAGACGTCTTTTCGACGTTTTATTTCCCACTGGGTGGGTTATTGTCATTACATGCATGGATTTGATATTTTGAGTGTATTCTAGATTTAAGTTATAGACTTGATATTAAAGAGTGGTAAATACGTGGACATCAAAATGTAAAGTTAGGAGCTTTAAAAAAACCTTTGTTCGGTGTGAGCTTGCAAAAAATTGGTTTTATTGTTGACATGCCTTTTTAAGGCGGATCTGGGACATCAAATAATGGCAATACTGCTCGTCATGCTTTTCGTCAGCAAGCAGAGTTTTCGCGAATAACAGGAGTCAATGAAGATTTAACCTACAGGCTATACATTATTCTATCTGTCATTATTTTGAGTAAAAAAATCAAAAATGTAAAATATAAAACATATTGTTTGGAAACAGCAAATATTTTTGTTTGAGATTACTCATGATTTTACATGCCAGCAAACTACTCTTTCATAGTTTTCTGACAATATCTAGATTTAGGTTACCAATTGGAATGTACTCTGAAGAAGCAATTGAAGCTCGGAATAAAGATATTTGCTTACAACACACTCGTAAATTTGATCGAAAAGGTACAATGACGAACCAATACAATTATTTAATGCTTTTGAGTGACCCAATTCTTTTATCTCTAAACTATGCAAGATCAAAATGTAAACATAAAAAATAAATTTAGAAGGAGACGCAAATGATCTTCTCTTTCAAGAACCTGTAAAGGAAAATATAAATGAAGCTAATGTTGATGTATATGCAGATGAAGAATATAATAAGTTGAGGATAATGATTTTGATGATAGAAAAGAGGAACTAAAACCAAATGAAATAAATGAAATAAGAAATTTAAATGAGCAAAATAACATTATCGAATCATCTGAAAATGAAAACACTTATTTACCATTTTATAATTATGCTTACTTTGAACTTACTGACTAAAATTTTGCTTATATTATTTTTACCTTTTGATTTCAACAAAATTTTTATGTGCTCTAATTTGTAAAATAGAAACTTTTAACCTTGAACTATAAAAAATTAATTCTCAGTTTTAAATATTTATTTAATATTTGCAATATAAAATATAGTTACTCTAGTTCATCAAACGTCTATACGAAGGATGTTAGTAATAGTTTAACTACTTTTTAACATTTACAGTATGTACAATTTTTTTATCAAATTGGTGCAGTTATCAACTAATTAGTCAACGATATCACATAAACTTTAAATGCATTGTAAAGTAAGAACTAAATAAGTCTAAAACTTTGAAATTTCAAAATCGACTTTAAGTCTAAATTATAGCTAGTTGCAGCTAATTTTATTTAATAGTATTAAACAACCTTTGTACTTCCTAAATATCATTAATTTCAATTTCAAGAAAGCGGCATTTGGTTGGAATTAAATACTTAAATATTTGATTTTTATGTACTTATAGGGAAATGATTTTCTTTTTTTTCATGTTTTGGAAACATTATGATAATAAAAAAAAATTATTTTAAACAATAACGGTTCAATATTTAATAAAATTAAAATTAAAAAAAAAAAAAAACTATATTCTTTAAACAAATATCTTAACTTTAAATTGGTCTTTTTATAAAAGCAAAAAAAGTCGTCGATTTTAAACTAATAAAAATATAACACCTCATAAATAAAGTTTTGGACTAAATTTAAAATCTAATATTTTAAGAATTAATAAGTTTTATTATGTAATATTTCAACTGTTAATATGTTAGTATATGTAGTTTATAAATATATTAAAATAATTATTTCAAATACATTATTTAGCAATTTAATAAAGTTTTTTTGAAAGATGTTTTTTTGAGTAAGGAAAATTTTTTTATTCTTTTTTTTTGAAAGAGTTTGAAGCAATTCAAATGCTTCAAACTCTTCCAATGTCTTATCTTTCTCCATATTCTCGTACACTAGCCGTTTTAAATTACCCCAAAAGTTTTCAATTGGTCTTGCTTCTAGAACGTTAGCTAGGTTTATATCTTTGGGTACAACTTTGATTTTTTTCTATTTTAAAAAGTCGATGACCGACTTTGCGTAATGTGATCGAGCTAGATCAGGCCAGTAGATAAACTTATTGTGTTTTTTATAATCTTCTGATACTAGAGGAAGTAAAGTTTTTTCTTGTATTTCTTTATAAGTGTACTGGTTGATTGCCAAGAGGTATTATTTTACGGGGGCTGATACAACAAGAAACTAAGAGCTTGTCCTCGTCCTACTTCTTCAGAACATTGAGAACGATCAGCGGCATAAAACCTATCATTACCAGCTAATGTGCTATTGTTTAAGGTAAAATAGCTTTCATCATCCATAACAAAGTCCAAATTTTTATTATTTTTGTACAAATTACGACATTTAGGACGCATAGCTTTCTTTTGCTGATGGCTATGATCTGGACGATTTGATTTTTGAAAGTTTAAATGTTAGACATTGCTATTAATACTTGGGAAATTCGAGTTTGATTACAGTTAAATACTTGAGCTGCTTTCTTTTGGGAGCACCCTGACTTATTTTCAAAAAATGCAGCAATCTTTGGATTATTTTCTTTAGTAGCTACTTTAGCGATTCGACCACTTCCAACTTTTCTTTTTAGAGATCCACTCTCCAATTTTACAATTTTATTGTAAGCAGTTGATCTAGGTAAACCCCATTCCATAAATTTTTTTGTCGATTTTTTTGGAAAAATATTTCCATCATTTTTTCGAGATCCTTTACTTTGACTATTTTACTTTCAATATTTAATATTTTTAACTTATATAAATTAAATTTAAATAGATTATAAAATCCTCTTTCAAAAAAGTTTAAAGGTTTTTTGTGTGCATGAAATAAATTATATAATAAATGCAATTAAAATTTGTCCGAAATTTTACTTATAGGGTGTTATCATAAAGAACACGGTCGCTATTCATTTTATTCTTTTTATTGTTTTTTTTTTTTTTGTTTGTTTGTTTTTGCAATTGCTTCAGCTGTGTTTTTTTTGTTGAGCAATAACTGCCGTTTAATAAACGCAAAAAATTAGAACACCAAGCAATCTTCAAGTGGCATTTAGAAAAAGGAAGATGAAGAAATTCAGAAAAACACTTTTAAAATACCAACAATTCTAAACCATATTATGAATAAATGAAATTCAAATTTATACCTAAAACATAGACATTTTATAAGCACTAAGGTAATATGTTTATTTAAAATAAAAATAGTCCATAGCTTTTTTAATTGAAAAAAGTTACTTATCATAAAATTTAATTTAAATTTTATGATAAGTATTTTTTGGAAAAAAGTATTTGCGAAAATTTGACAATTTTAAAGCCATTTAAAATGGTTCTAGCAAGGTTTCCTTAATCTCTAGTAATTAATTGATTAAATTTTTAAGTAGAGTAAAACACCTATGTTTCAATAATAAAATAAATAAAAAAGTTTAGAAGATTTGACTTTTTTGGGACTTTAGGCCACAGAAAGAAAATTCTGGTCCACTGTGCACCGCTGTAAAATTAAATGAAATAACATTAAAGTAAAAAGATCTGTAGTAAAACTTCCTTTTTTTATTTAACAACCCTTAAAGTTCAGTATTGCTTAGAGACTTTGAATTTATAAACCTAGCAACGCCCATAACAACGCTGTTACTACTTGTTTTGGCTTCTTGCCATATTCAGTGAGTAAAAAACGTCTGGTTTATGTTAAATTGTATTATGTTATATGTTAGCATGTCATATTGATTGTACGTTATTCAACTTTACCCTTGTCCGGCAAAATGTAAAACCAAAAAGGACTTGTATCAAAGTTAGTTATCAGGTGTTATAACTGTAATTATACAGTTGACTTTTATACTTTGAGAAATTTTAAACTTTAGAACTTAACTGTATTTACATTATTTGCCGAACAGTATATGCTATGCGTGCATTTGGGCAAGGATATTCCTGTATTTCAAAAACTAACACCTCTAATAAACATGGAAACAACTATTGAAAAAATTATTTATAACATTTATAACAATACAAAAAAAATATTTATAACAAGTTTGTTGCGAAAATTGCAGCCATAGAAAAAATTGCTGAAGATACTATGTGTAATGGACTAGCAGAGTCGTGTAAACGTGCTGGTTATGACAATGTTAATTTTGTTTTGCGATGGTAATTAAAAGTGAAGAAATTAATAATAAATAGACAATGTTAAATATCTTTTCTTTTTTATCAATGCTTATAAAAGCTTGTCGATGCGGAAGTCTTTTCCGCATTGTTTGCTCAAAGCAAAGATTACTTATGCTTATCAAAGATTTCAGGTGCTTTTATGAAATAATGTTGCAATGAATAAACAATTAAAAAAATCAAACTATCTTTAATAAAAGACAGTTTGAGAGCAAAGAAAATAAAACAAAATAAAAATTGTTTGGATATAAAAGACAAAATTTATTAACCAGGAGGATTTTAAGTAATATTTTTG